CCCCCCCCTTTGAGGTTCAAGGCCCCATTAAGAGCTTCTTTCACCTCCTCCTCAGTTTTCTTTATGTCATCCCAACACTTTTTGGGTTAAAATTCCCCTCTTTGGTTCCCTTCTTTGCTGCCCTTTCCCACACCCCCTTCCTGCTCAACTGAAAAAACTTCCTTAAATTTCCTGTTCAGCCCCTTTCATTCCCTTCCATCATTTCTTGTGATTTTCCCCGCCTTCTGCCCTTTAAAATCTAAACACCGGGCCCTTTAAACTTTTGTCTTCCTCCTGATGTGGCTATACAAAAAAGGTTTTGGGGGTCAGTCTTGTTTCCTCGATCTATTTTCAATTCATACTTTGCGGGGCCCCCCTCCTTACCTGTGCGAAACTCATTTCGGGCCTCTGCGACTGATCCCCCTATTTTGTGTGTTCTCTCCCTTTCTGTATTTTTTTTTTCCATTCTCTATTGCACTTTGTTTTTGCCCCTTACACCGTCGGGAAAAAACCGGGGGGCTTGTTCTGGTTTTCCCCGTTGTTCTGTTCCCTTTGGGGAATCCCCCTTTTCCACTAAACCTCCTTGCATTTTGTTGCAAACCATATTTCCATCTTTTTTCATTTAAACTGGTTTTTCCTGCCAGTTCTCTGTCCCACGGGACCCCCCCAAAGGAAGTTCTTCAACCCTATGAAAGCCCCCTTTTTTTTATATTTCGGGGTTTTTTCCCTTCTACCCCTGCTATTCTCTCCACTTGCAGCTCTACTATTTTTTAAAAAGACAAAAACCACAGGGTTTCGCTAGCCCCTAGGGGACTCTCATAAATTGATTTTCCTCAAAGTCTGAGCTGCCCAGGGGGGAAAACAAGGTCCAATCTTTTGGTTCATCCTTTCCCCCCTCACTCGGTAGTTTTAAAAATGTTTGGGGCATGAGGGTTTTCCCCGCCCCCCCGTTTCCCAAAATCCTCTTTTCCCCTGTTTCGGGGCCCCCCCTGGGCTCCAGGATTTCCCCAGTCAAATTTCCCCGTGGTTGAAATCCCCCTAACCACCCAAATTTGCTCCGCTGGAGTGAGGGTCTTCTTGCCACCTCAGCAAGTGTGTCCCCCCCATTTTCTCTGTTGGGTCTCTTCTTTTTCCTTTTCTTGGCCTTTCCCGCAGTTTTTGTTTGGGGGTTATACCCTCACTGCAATTACACTTTGTGTTCCCCAGACTGAAGTTTACCTGTAGTAGTCTTTTTTTCTCCCTTTTCAATTCCCTTTCCCTTTTTTCGAATTTCCATCTGTTTTTTACGAGCGGGGCAAACCCCCCCTCCCCCCTGCCCCCTTCCCATCTTTTCCTCAAGTTGGTTTCCTGGTGGGGGAAAATTGCATCTGTTTTTGTCTCCCTGGTTTTTTTTTCTTTAACTGCTATGAAAGTCTGGGGATTCTCATTGATTTTTTCTTTCCATTCCTCATGTTTTTAAAAATTTGTTAACCATCTTCATTTGTGTACCAAAAACCCTTTAAATTTTTTCTAATACTGTAACTGTGGGTGGGGGGTGGGGAAAAAGAAAGGGGGCGGTGGGGATGGGTTTGGTTTTTTTTGTTCAGTTCCCTTGGGGTGGCGTGGTGGAGTCCTTCTGAAGGGGTTTTTTGGGGGGGGGGCGCCCTTTTCCTTCCCCTTTGATCCTGGGTTTTTTGCTCTTTCCTTTTTTTATTTCTTCCCATTTCTCCTTTCTTTTTTTTAAAAATTTCTTTTATTTTCTTCTTTTTGTCCTGTGTTCTGTCTCGTGGGTACACACCCGGAACTCCGCTTGCCCCTCGGCCGTGCTTTCTCCCGCAGGGTCCCTGGTTCGGGTTGATTCTGCCTTGGAAAAATTTCTTTGAAGGCCGATTCCTTTTTTTGTGAACCCCCAATTTTCCGGAAAAATTTTAACCTGGGTCTGCCCCCCCCTATCACCTTCATGATGTCTTCAACGCTTTTTTTCCCCCTCCTGCTTTTTTTATCATAATTTCCCCCCTTTTTGGGTTCCCTTTTAAACCCAAAGACAAACACGGATCTCTCCCTTTCCCCCCCCCCACGTGGGCTCCCTTTTCAACCCCTGATTTTTTTTGTTCCTTCCCCCGGAGGTTCCTTCCCTTTAGTTCCCCTTTCCCCAGTTTGGCCCCAAAAGGGTTCTTTGGGGGATCCTTCCCCGCTCACCCGCTCCCGGCCCCCCCCCGGTTTTCTGGTTTAAAGGGCCCTTTCACGGTCCCCAGTTCCTTTTTAAAGTCCTTTCCCAAAATCTCTTTCTGTTAAGTCCCCCCTGTCTTTTTTTTTCCCCATGTGGGTTTGACAGGACCTCTGCATACGTTTAGGGTTTCCCTGCTTCCTTCGGGGCCTGTTTTTCTGTGTTCGAGGGAGCCAATTTCCGATTCAAAATTTTGTTTAAAATCTTTTTTCTCTGTGCGTTTCAGATTCTCAGCTCCTTTCCTAATCTCTCTATCTTTAAAATTTTTGCTGCTGGGCCTGTTGCTTCCCCCTTCTGCATTCGCGCTAAAACCCCTCTTCCAACTTCCTTTTTCCGCTCATCTAGTCTCCTTCCCCCTCTTTCCCCCCTTTTTTTGGGGCTCTACCTCCCATTCCCCCCCCCTCAGATTCGTCCCTTTGGGGCCCCTTTTTCCCCCAACCCGGGTTAGGGGGGAGGGGGTTAATGGAAGGAGAGGGAATGGATGGTTTTGGGGGAGGGGGGGGATGGTTATTGGAGGGGTAGGGGTAGTTGGGGGGGGGGGAGGTTTAAAGGTTTGGGGGGGAGAGGGGATGAATGGTTTGGGGGGGGGGGAGGATGGTTTTGGAGGAAGGGGGGGTTTTTTGGGCGGGGGTTTTTGACGGTTTTTGGGGGGGGGTTAGGTGGGTTTTGGGGGGGGGGTGGTGGGGTAAGGTGAGGTGGTTAGGGAAGGGGTTTGGGACGTGTTTGTGTCAAGGTTTGTGTCAAGTTTTTGTGTAAGTGGTGGAGTGGTGTTGTGGTGTGTGTGTGTGTTTGTGTGTGGTGTGTTGGGGGTGTGTTTTGGGGTGTGTGGGGTTTGGGGTGTGTTGGGGGTGTGTGTGTGTTTGTGTGGGGTGTGTGGGTGTGTGTGTGGTGGTTTTGTGGGTTTGTGTGTGTGATGTGGGGTGGGTGTGGGGTGTGTGTGTGTGGGGTTTTGTGTGTGGTGTGTGTGTGTGGTGTGGGTGTGTGGTGTTTTATGTGTGGTGTGTGTTTTGGGGGGGGGTGTGTGTGTGTGTGTTTGTGTGTATGGTGGGATGGGGGGTTGTATGTGTTTGTGTAAAGGGGTGTGTGGGGTGGGTTAAAGTTTTTGTTGTTGTGTGTAAAGTGAGTGTGTGTGTGGTGTGGGTGTGTGTTGTGTGGTGTGTGGCCCGGGGTGTGTTGTGCGTGCGGTTTTGTGTGTGGCGTGTGTGTTTTGGTGGTGCGTGGTGTGGTGTGTGGGTTTTGTGTGTGTTTTGTGTGTGTGTGTGTGTGTGTTTTTGTAAGTGTGTGTGTGTGTATGTGTGTGTGGTTTTGTGTATGTGGTGTGTGTGTGGTTTTTGGTTGGTGTATGTGGGGGGTGTGTTTTGTGTGTGTGTGGTGCGGGTTGTGCGTGCAAATTTTGTGTGTGCCTTGTGTGGGTTTGGGGTGTGGCGTGTGTGGTGTTGTGTGGTTTTGGTGTGGTGTGTGGTTTTGTGTGGGGTGTGTGTGTGTGTTTGTATGTGTGTTTGGTGTGTGGTGTTGTGGGGGTGTGTGTTGTGTTTTTTTTGTTTTTTTTTGTGTGTGTTGGGGGTTTTTACGTATGGTGTTGTATGTTGTGTGTTGTATGTTGTGTAGGGGTTGTGAAAGTGTGTATGTTTTGGAGTGTCTACCCCTTTTCTGTGTGTGCTTGTGGGGTGAGGGGGGGAGGGTTAGGGGGCGGTATGTGGGGTGGTTTTTAAAGATCCCTCGTTAGGGAAAAAATTTAGTCCTTTTTTCTTTTTCCCCAAATTTTTATTTTTTTTCCACTTATTGCCCTTTCTGGGTTTTTGTAAAAATTGTTGCTGGTTTTTATTTATTTTTCCCCTTTTTCACTTTTAGAGAAGGGGCTTCCTAGCTTCCTAAAATTTCTTAAAGGGTAATTTAAAGACCGGTTTGAAAAAACTGCCTGTGTGGTGTGTGCATGTTTTTGTGTGTGGGTGTGTGTGTGTGTGTGTGTGGAGGGGTGTTTTTTGTGCGGTTTTAATTACTGGCCGGGAAAATTCCCTTTTGACCCTGACACAACCCCCCTGGGACCTACCCCAGCACGGTCTTACAAAATTTTTTTGCCCTTAAAAGTTGTCCCACCTACCTTTTCACACTCGTCAAATTTTATTCCTATTCTATGCTATTTCTTTCAAATTTTGGGAAATTTGCTTGCAGGGGTGGGACCAGTAAACAAACAGTATGCAACCAGGGCCCGGGCCGGGAACCTGCAAAACCCCAACTAGGCGAACAAACTTGGGGGTGACGTTTTCCCGTGCTGAGCGAAGTAGTCTTTCGAAAGGCCCTTTTTAACCCCTTAAATTTTTAGATCCCACCCGTGGGTGATTATAAACCCTAAATTCTGTACATCCCGCTTCCCCCCTTCACTTCCCCTTTTGATGATAGTATACACCCTTTACATTATATTCCTTTTATTTATATGTATAATGGCACACAACTTGTCTTTAGTCACTTCTTCAGGGCCCCCGCTAAACCAAAGTGGGAAAAGCGCCTAAGACCCCCCAAAGGTTGGGGGCTTTGAAATATTTTGATTTTTCAGCTTTCCTCTTTAATTTTTTTTAAAATAATAAAATTTAATTAACCTCGTAGTATTTTTTTCATGACTTAAAAAAAAAAATGATTACTTCAGCTGTTATTACACGCCTTTCAACGTAAGGTTCCCCGGAGCCTTGTTACCCACGTCTTCACCCCACGGACCCACGTAATTGTAAGAAAAAGGCTTAATAAATATCGCCCGTGACTGCATGAAATAACAAATATGAGCCAAGAAAAATATAATATAAAATAGGAAATATATAACCTGTGCAGAGGGAGACTAAACTGCTGATGACCAGAGTGATGATGATGCCAGTGACGCCGCTGTAGCAGTACGAGATATCATACATGGTCTTGTGTGTTGATCTGTAGTGACAGTAGACAGTGATTATTGGCACTTGCTGCTGTATGTTAGCAACGTACAAGCAACACTCTCTCAAACTCGCCTACTTGTTTCATTCACAAAAATATTGTGTAGGCAATATAATTTACAGTTAATTTATATGTAAATCAAAATATTAATTATTTATTAATTAATTATTAACAAAATAGAACATGTTAATGAAATTAGAAAACAGAACATGTTACAGAAATAGACAACCGTTAATCGACCACTCCTACACTCCACTCCAGCCCATCAGTTTGTTGTTCATACACCTACTTATCATCTGGTTATCCGTCTATCACCTGGGCCACCTTCACGCCAGTTGCCCTCCTTCTGGTCAGGTGTCCGCTGTCTGATCGGCTACTGAACGCTTGCTTATCTGACAACTATCTTGACAGCTTCCCAATAGTAATCGGTTTCTGTCAGGACGGTTGCCACCGCCTGCTCTCTAACCCACTGACCATTCAGCTACCTGTTTATCAGCTACCTACTGTCTAACGAGCTCTTTCCTGGTTATTCAGCTACTCTCGGATCAACCACGAACTATCCGATCAGCTGAATACAATCTAGCAATCCACCTACCATCTAGTTAATATCCCACTATCTAGTCAGCATCCCACCGTCTAGTCAGCATTCCACCATCTAGTCAGCATCCCACCGTCTAGTCAGCATCCCACCGTCTATTCAGCATCCCACCGTATAGTCAGCATCCCACCGTCTATTCACCTCCCTACTGAATTGTCTGCCACAACTGTCTGGCCAGCCGATCATTGTCTGATCAGTTTCCCATTCTCTCTAAATGACCAAACGACCTCAACAACACCTTTCAGCCCTCTGACTAATACTTTTAGTAACTCCACACCTATTCCTAATTTCCACACTATGAATTCTCTGCATAATGACTCATGAAATCGTAATGACACGATTGCAAACAAACCATACCACTCTCTGATCGCGGGTTCTATCCTTACCCGTGGTATGGTTTATTATTTTCTGCATAATGCTTACACAACACATTTCCCTTAGGCAAGACATCTCCACTGTCTCCAGTGTCCTCCTTGATGCAGCATTTACAACCGATGCTTCATACCCATGTAAGAGTGATGGATCCACTATACTCTCGTGCATCCCCGTCTTTGCCTTCATGGATAACGTTTTTTGTCTCTACAAATACCTCAACACACCACTCACCTTCCTTAACCAGTTCTATGGTTAACCCCATTCTTCATAACCCCATCTGCTGACAAGTCAACTCCCAAATATATGAACACATTTCATATTCCCTTCCTCCAATGTGATATCCAATTTTTCTTTATCTAAATCGTTTGATACCATTACACCTTACTCTTATCTATGTTCACTTTCAACTTTCTACCTTTACACACCCTCCCAAACTCGTCCACTAATCTTTGCAACCCATAAGCACAGTATCATCAGCAAAAGTAAAGGAGTCAACTCCCACTTTGTATTTAATTCCCCATAATTTAATCCCAACCCCTCTCCCCAACACCTTAATATTTACTTCTTTTACAACCCCATCTATAATTATGATAAACAACGATGGTGACATTACACATTCCTGTTTAAGACCTACTTTTACTGGGAAGTAATCTCTCTCTCTCCTACACACCCTAACCTAAGCCTCATTATCATCATAAAAACTCTTTACAGCATTAAGTAACCTACTACCTATGCTATACACTTGCAACATTTGCCACATTGCTTCTCTATTCACCCTATCATATGCCTTTTCTAAATCCATAAATGCAATGAAAATTTCGCTAGCTTTATCTAAATACGTCGTCGTAAGCTCCTCTCTTCTATGTGCGGGTTATTTGTGTATCGTTCCAGTCACGGTATTGTGCCTTTTTTGTTATTTACCGTTCACATGTATGTTTCAATGTAAACACTTGATCTACACATTCCTTACCCATTCTAAAGCCTCCTTGCTCATCTGCAATTCAGCACTTTGTCTTACCTCTAATTGTTTCAACAATAAACCTACCATACACTTTACCATGTATACTCAGTAAACTTATTCCCACACAATTTTTAAAAATCTCTTGTCCCCCTTCCCTTTATATAAAGGATCTCTACATGCTCTCTGACAGTCCCTAGGTACCTTCCCCTCTTTCATACATTTATTTAACAAAAATACCAACCACTCCAACACTATATCCCTCTCCCCTGCTTTTAACATTTCTGTCGTCCAGTCAGTTCCAGCTGCTTTACCCCCTTTCATTTTCCGTAATGCCTCACGCACCTCCCTCACACTCACATCCGGCTCTTCTTCACTCCTAAAAGATGTTATACCTCCCTGTCCAGTGCATGAAATTACTGCCTCCCTTTCTTCATCAACGTTTAAAAGTTCCTCAAAATACTCCCGATATCTTATCGATATCTGCTTATCTCCAAGTATTTTTCTTATTCTCAGCAAAATTTGCTGACAGTGCCTCACCCACTCTAACATTTGCTCTTTTTGCACTCTCATCACCTTTCTTTTACACTCTATATACTCCGCCCTTCACATATCACTTCTGTTTTCTAAAAACCTCTCATGAGCGACCGTTTTCTCTTTTATTGCATGCCTTTACCTCATCATCCCACCAATCACTCCTCTATTCTCCTGCACCCACCCTCCTTTAGCCACAAACTTCTGCCCCGCATTCTAACACTTGATTTTTAAAACTATCTCACCTCTCTTCCACCACTCTCCCCCTCATTACCAACATTCGCACTAGCCCGCCTATCTGCTAACAGTTGCTTATATCGTACCCTAACTTCCTCTTCCCTTAGTTTATAAACTTTCACCTCTCACTTGCTGTTGCCATTTTCCTTTTGCTCCATCGACCTCTTGCTCTAACTGTAACTACAACTAAATAATGATTCGACAATCAATTGCCTCTCAATAAACATCTTGAAGCCTACCTATCAACATTTTATCCACCAATACATAATCTAACAAACTACTTTCATTTTGTTCTATATCATATATTGTATACTTATCCTCTTTTTTATAAAATATGTATTACTTATTACCAAACCTCTTTCTACACATAGCTCAATTAAAGGCTCTCCATTTTCATTTGCCCCTGGCGCCTCAAATTTACTTACTAATCCCACCACAACATTTTTTTACGTAAGTACACACACACACACACACTTGATCAAGCACGTCAAGAAATTAGAGAAAGTGCAAAGGTTTGTGGCAAGGTTAGTACCAGAGCTAAGGGAATGTCCTAAGAAAGGTTAAGGGAAATCGGCCTGACGACACTGGAGGACAGGAGGGTTAGGGGAGACAAGATAGCAGCTTACAAAATACTGCGTGGAATAGACAGGGTGGATAGAGAGAGGATATTCCAGAGAGGGGACACAGAAAAAAGGGGTCACATCTGGAAGTTGAAGACCAAAATGAGTCAAAGGGATGTTAGGAAGTATCTCTTCAGTGATAGAGTAGTTAGGAAGTGGAATAGTGCAGCAAATCAGGTAGTGGAGGCAGGAACCATACAAAGCTTTAAGATGAGGTATGATGAAGCTCATGGAGCAGGGAGAGAGGGGATCTAGTAGAACTCAGTGAAGAGGCGGGGCCAGGAGCTGAGTCTATACCCCTGCAGCCACAATTAGGTGAGTACACACACACACACACACACACATCAAAGAGATGGTAAATCCAGTACTCGGTGAATCTGCATCAATTCTTCTCACCGAGTTAACAACTTTCGTCAACAACTGCCTGGCTGGACGAATCCCAGAAGAAATTAAACCTTTCTTTTTTTTTGGAACCTCACTATGTGCTTTGAAGAAGAGGGATGGTGGAATCAGACCCACTGCCGTTGGAAACACTCTTCGCCTTCTCTTTGCCAAAACAACAGTAAGAAAGATTCGCCTACAAGCTGCCACTTTACTCCAGCCACACCAACAATTTACCCACCAAATTTGTTATAATCATCAAAAATAAAACTGTTTTACACATTTTTTCTCAAAATATTCATACCACATTTATCATTTCTCACCTATGCTACATATCATATTTCTCATCCACATCAACCCTAAAACATCCTTCCTTATTCATCCGTATATCACCTAGAGATGTTTTAACCCCGACGACCCATCACGACGTAGGAGCCAGAGCAACCATCACCACTCCAACACCACCTACTACACTCTGGCTCCTAGTGTCATGATGGGTCGTCGGGATAAAATATCTCTAAGAGATATACGGATGAATAAGGAAGGATGTTTTAGGGATGATGTGGATGAGAAATATGATATGTAACATAGGTGAGAAATGATAAATGTGGTATGAATATTTAGTTTGAGAAAAAATGTGTAAAACAGTTTTATTTTTTGATGATTATAACAAATTTGGTGGGTAAATTGTATTAATATTTTTTGTTGATGAATAGTTAACATGAACTTAGTAAAGTGATTGTGTATTAGTTGGAGGTGTGTGACTTAGTTCTGGTAATGTCTCATGATACACAAATAACCCGCACATAAAAGAGAGAAGCTTACGACGACGTTTCGGTCCGACTTGGACCATTGACAAAGTCACACTAACCAGAGGTGGAGTAGGACGGCTATAAATAGGCAGGAAGAGGTGATGGTAGTAGTAGTAGTAGTAGTACAACTACTACTACTACCATCACCTCTTCCTGCCTATTTATAGCCGTCCTACTCCACCTCTGGTTAGTGTGACTTTGTCAATGGTCCAAGTCGGACCGAAACGTCGTCGTAAGCTTCTCTCTTTAATGTGCAGGTTATTTGTGTATCGTTCCAGTCACGGTATTGTGCCTTTTTTGTTATTAATGTCTCATGACATGGTAAATTTTTTTGTGCTTATGTCTTATATTTATTGTCAATATGTCAAGTATAGGTTTTGGTGTATGTCTTAGTTATGATGTGTATGTCTTAGTTGGAGGTGAATGTCTTAGATTGGTGTGTATGTCTCATGTTTATTTGTGATTGAAATGAAATAAGT